TAAATTAGAAAATACAAACAAGAGTAGAACTTTAAAATTTAAAAAAAAAAAATTTAATGGATAGTAGAAAAGAGAGAAAAGTAACTGTCACCATTTCAGTTCAGATTGATGACAAGAATTTTGTTTTTCCCTCATTTTCAGCAAAACAAGTTTCCACATGTTCAATTGATCATCAACCACTGAAAGGGACAAATCAATCAAATGACATCAATCAAAACATGAATAACTTTAAAATCTTAATTTGCTTAAATTCACAGAAAATTTGTCTAATTCTCTATTAAATATAATATCTGAATTATTGAATTTACGCAAATTTCGACTCTTTTTGCAAAGAGAAAGTTGACAATATTTATTTGAAAAATTTTAATTATAAAAAAGAATGGAATTAGGATTGAATTGTTGAAGAAAGAAATCTTTCAATGAGTTTAATGATAATAAATAATTAAAAGGACTACAAAAAAAGGCATAGATAATTTGTCATATTTTATCGAATTATTTCTTATCATTATGCTCGTTATCACTTTATCACTTCCAACTCTTCATTACTTTTGTCCTTTTAGTGATACCGATTTACCTAAATGATATTCCGCTTTTTTTTCAAAGCAATGAGATGAAAATTTTTTCACATTTTTTTACCATTTAATCAAAGTTATATGATAAGAAATTTTGTGTAATCTATTTGAGATAAGGTTATTGTCGTTGAATTGAAAGCATTTGTAACATCTTTGAGTAATGCTACTGAAATTTGAAGCTGTAATTAATAAATGTTAGCAAATAATAGTGAATGGGTACTGTAAATAGAATTGGATGGATACTGCAAACGAAATAGGATGGGTACTGTAGGGGGGATGAAAACATATAAATGGATATTGTATGTGATTTTTTAAATATTCTTTAGTATCTTTTCCGGTTACTATTGAAATATTATGCAATGGTTATAATAAAATAAAAAGAAAAAAAATAGTTATAATTATTATGCAAATATTTTAATCGTATAAAATATTCATAAGTAATTTAGTCTTTCATTTTTCATGCTATTCTTACAATTTATTACTTTTTTTCCAACTTTTTCTTGTCTTCTCCTTCATTTCAACTTTTTCAGCAGCTTTATTTAATGTCCCTTTGGAAATTTTATCTGTTTGAAGTGAATGACTTTTCATTTTATCATTTTTAGGAGTACCTTTTTTATCCTGAAATGAAGAATGTTTCATTTATTTCATCCTCAAATATATTATTCTTTTTCTTTTTTTTTTTTTTTTTTAAGAATTTAAATTTATATGAATTGAGGAATTATTCGTTACATTTAATGCTATACTTTTCTTAATTACCTTTTCTTTATTAATTAAAGCTTGCAATTCTGTGATTGCTTCCATTACTTTATTAGCAAGAAATTTATATTTTGGTGCTACATTTCGATTTGTTGTCATTAAATATGTATTAATTTCGTAGAATTGTCGTGGTGCTCGTCGTAACAAAATTTGTGCTGGACAATAAACAGTTTTGAGGTAATTCAGAATCTAAAAAAAAAAAAAAAAATATTTCTTAAAATGATTTAAAATGACTTAAAATGATTAAAATTATTTGGTAATAAAATGAATAAGTTGAAATTTGAAGTGACATAAACTTATTAATTTTATCACCGCATAAGTATTTAAATCTTTTGAAGTGCATTCATTTAGAACTTATCAATTTTATCACTGCATAAGTATTTAAATCTTTTGAAGTGCATTCATTTAGAACTTATCAATTTTATCATTGTAAGATTGTTCAAGGTTTTGAAATATATTTATTTAAATTTATCAATTATTTATAGTTACCCGTTCACTTTGACGATATGTCCAGGGTAATGGTTGTGCAACTTGTTTAGCTGAATCATAAAGTTCACATGCTACATACAACCATGAGATCAAATCATCGAAACGATTTTGCTCTCGACCTTTAGATGCCCAACCACTACACCATTCCGGTGTTCCACGAAATGGACATGTTGATCGTGGTGTTCGACACTAAATTTCACAAAAATTTTAATTCTAAAAATATCGCCATTATAATTTTATAACATATTACCAACATATCAATTATATAAATACCAATCACTAGCATCATTATTATTATTATTATTATTATTATTATTATTATTATTATTATTATTATTATTATTATTATTATTATTATTATTATCATCATCATCATCAATCATCATCAATCATTATCATCATTATTATGATTATTATTATTATTATCATCATCATTAATTATCATCAATCAATCAATCATCATCATCATCATTATCAATCAATCATCATCAATTAATCACTAGCATCATCATCATCATCATTATCATTGTTATTATTATTATCATCATCATCAATCAATCAACCATCATCACCATCATCAATCAATCATCACCATC